AGCAGCAGCTGAGAACATTTCTTCACCTCAAACAGATGAGTTGTCACAAACAGTCGCAGTTTGTAAACTGCACTTTAATATTCTGTCACATTGCAGCCATCATGAGTCCTGAACTCTCAGTTTCACTGTTTAAGAGATCAGAGATAAACTGTGTTGTTAGTTGTTTGGACACCTTCATCAGCTGCTATTAGTTTCAGTTTAGTGGTTTAGGGTAGTTGGATGTTGTGCTGGTTTGTAGAATCTGTTTTTACTGTGAAAAGCTTGATCACATGACTTCCTTCTCAGCATGTTTCTTCTCCTAGAGCATGCATACAAAGACTGAGGTGGTAGATGCACACTCCTACGTACACTTACTCACAGATAGATAATAGAGCTGTTAACGCACACACCAGACACACTTTAAATGCACACACTAAAACAGGATCCCCGTTTTGGGGGGAAGGCATTCACATGCACACACTCACCCACTTTTTTTCACGAACCTGCCATCTGGGGACCCACATATAGACGTGCACATGCCAGCACCTGAATAAGGGGACACACTGAAGAATTCATCAGTTCATTGAGTTATAAATTGGAATTTAGTGAAGTTCAGTTTCATTCATTTTGTGTGCTTTATATAGACATTTTAGACATTTGTTAAAGTAGTATTATTCGTAATATGAGTATATTTAAAACCCAGCACTAAAGCAAGTAGTGTGAAAATAATATGACAAGTAAACCAAGCTCCAGCCTCGACTCAGACACATTTATTACCGTAAGCAGAAATTATGGTCTACTTGCTAAAACTAGACCGTAAGTCTATAAGGCGGACACGCTTAGAGATTAATTAATCAATTGAGCTTTGAGTCACAGTTTAGATGAACTTCAGCTGTATTGACTTCACAGACACACTTTAATTAAAAACATTTTAGGTATTTGCTGAAAGTGTTTATTAAACTACACAATAATAATTTTACAATAAGAATACAAGTCAATAGTCTGTCTGCATAAACTTGACAAGGAGCTAAGAAATTGTTTAGATGTGCAGACAGAGGTGAAATAATTGAAATAAACTAGTGATTTCTAAACCTTGTCAGAGCAAAAGACAAATAAAACAATGTCAACAAAAGAAAAAAATTAATACATGCACAGTAATACAGGATGCTGAGGCTGTTTTTGATGAGGGGTAGGATTCCTATGTAAGAAACTACTTAGTTATTAGAAAAGAGGCACTAGCACTGATATAACTCCCGTCAACTCAAAAATATTTTATGGAATGACACAATTATTAAAGATTGGTCCCATCACTGTCTCAGTTTGGTTGTCATGTCTGTGTTTCACCACCAGGTGTCCGTCTTGTCTTATTTTTCCCTCAGTGACAGATGATGTCTCCACATTTGTTCAGACCATTTTCATTTCAATATCTTTTAGTTTATTGCTAAAGTATTGCTGCTGTAAATGTCTTAGTTGTCAGATTTGTGTGACACTAAATCTTTTTCTGCCTCCGTCTGCAATGGACTGTTGCCCGTGTTGTTTCAAGCACAGCTGCTAGATATTTATTATTTATTTTAAATCATAATAAGAACTTCTGTACTTACTGTAACTGCTGTAGTTTCAACATTGATTTGAATCTAGCTCATTATTGAAATCTTTGCTAACTTGGATCAAGCTTCTGTTGAAATAAACAAGATTGAACTTCAGTCTTAACCAAGAACAAACACTTTTCATCAACTTGTCATTCTTAAAATTGTATTTATTGACTGATTATCAGAATGTAATTAGATCTTTATTATGTCCTTTTGAACATATTTACAAGTGTTTGTGGTGATAAATGAACATATTTAGTGCCATTAAGGAATATGCAGTGGAACAGAGGAGCAGAAATATTACAGCAACAATACAAACTTATAACAAATGGACACATGTACAGACTGTACAGAAAATAAACCATAATCTAAATAAACTTCATTGTCATGGTAAAAAGTAGGTAATGACTATATGCATAGGAACATGCTTGTTTGGTAAAGACAAAAAAAACAAAACAACAACACATAAAACCAGATATATAGTTATATCATATTTTTTTCCATCATTTAATACCTTTTTAAACACAAGTGTTTCTTACACTGGTGGAAAATGCCGAAGGAGACAGAAATCCTAGAAATGGAAATTCTATTGAAGCAGACAAATTGTTAGTTCATGTATATTTCAAGCAACACATTTACACTGTATGCAAAATTACTATCAACTACAAAATTAGCAAAAGGCAGAAATGTTTTATGTATGTGTGTGTGTGTGTGTGTGTGTTTATATTGTAAGTCATTTATTCAACTCAAAACCAAATGTCCAGCTGCCAGAAGCTAACACAGCACACCTGAAGATCCTGAACCTAAGAAATAATAAGCCCGAAGTCCGGCATAAAGAGGCCGAGTGAATGTGGTCCTGACTCTGTGGAGGAGAGTCATGGAGCCAGAGACTCTGTAGAAGGACAGAACACCTGCTCTGTGATCCAGATAGACTCCGATTCTGGAGGACAAGGGGGCTGAGACTGAAGTGTTAATTCCATCATGAGTTAATTCATAACAATCATATGAACACCTAAATGCCCAAGACCTGTCATTGTTTCCAAACTCGCTACTGTCTCCTGTTCTGCTTATATCTTTGTATGCGACGGCGACATAAATACCAAAGTCGCTCCACTCCACCTCCCAGTAGTGACGTCCAGTCAGGGCCTCCCTACTCAGGACTTGAGACCTATTCATGAATCTGTCAGGGTGACTTGGATATGCCTGTTTTTTACTCGTATATGTTGCTTTTTTGTTCTCTTCAGATAATAACAAGCGAACATTTGCTGTGTTTGGATCCAGTGTGATCTGACATGAATGTTGTAAAAATTCTGCTCTAGTCGTGGGTTCTGGTTGTGGCAATAAAACATCCACTGCAGTGATTATCTGTGAAAGTTTTGGCATTTTCTCACACAGAAACCTCTGTAGTTTACTATTCAGTTCTGACACAGCTGCTGTTGCTTCCTTAAAGTACTGCAGGTGACGGGGTTCAGGGTGAGGCCACTGTGATTCACTGAGTCCCGAAATCAAGGGAAACGTGTGCAGGAAATGGCAGTCGTCCTTCGTCCGAGATATTTCGTCCAGTCCAGCTTCTTGTGTCTTCAACTCAGTGATCTCGTCCTGCAGTTTTTCCAAAAGATCTTTGGCGCGATTTACTTCAGTTTCCTGCTGAGATCTGATCTTCTTCTTCACGTCCAAGCTTTTTCTCTCAATAAGCTCAATGAGATCTCTGAAGATCTTGTCAGTGTCCCTCATTGTTGTATCAGCAGACTGCTTGATGGCCTCCACCTCCTGCTGAAGCAATTTTACATCTGTCTGTCTGTCCTGGATCCTCTGGCGGATTTTTTTAACACTTGGCTTCAGCTCTTTCTGCTTCTCAGTTCTTTCTGTTGTAGCTGAAACTGTGTCGTGGTCTTTATGTTCATCCAATGAGCACAGATAACAGATACACTGTTGATCAGTGCGGCAGAAGATCTTCTTCACCTCATTGTGACGAGAGCAGATATTCTCCTGAAGCTTCTTGGACGGATCGACCAGCGTGTGATTTTTAAATGCGGGAGATTGGTAGTGAGGCTGGAGGTGTTTCTCACAGTAAGAGACCAGACACTGCAGACAGGACTTGACAGCGTTCAGTTTTCTCCCAACGCAGAAATCACATGAAACGTGTCCACGTCCAGTGATGTAGATATCCTCTGGAGCAGACTGGAGTCCCATCTTCTGCACTTCCTTCACTAACTCAGCAAACATGGTGTTTTTCTTCAGGTCAGGCCTCGGTCCGAACGTCTGTTGGCACTGAGGACAGCTGCAGATTTGCTTTTGATCTTCTCCATCCCAGTGGATCTTAATGCAGTTCATGCAGTAGTTGTGTCCACAAGGAATAGTCACCGGATCCTTCATTAGATCCAGACAAATCGAACAGCTGAGTGCTTTCCTGTCAAACTGAAATCCTTGCTGCGCCATTTCACCTCCTTGTCGAAGTGTCAATGAATGTTTGGATGGAAGCAGGAAAGTTTTTTATATTCTTCCTAACTCCAGAAAGAGGAGTGGCTTCAATGAGGAAATATGTGGCATAATTATGTCTACTGTGAATTTTTATTGGCAGGCAATGATCCACAAACAGGCTTCTCTTAAAAAACATTGATAAACTTTGTTCAAGGTTCAAGGCTACTTTATTTGTCTCCCTTGGGAGGAAATACTTTTAGATATTTACGGGAATAGCTGCTAAATAAAACACACCCTATAAAAATCACATGTAAGACACGTGTAAAACATTAACTTGTGTTAAGTACTGAGCACTTTACTGTTCTCCATTTTAGCAATAATGAACTTAACTGACAGAGGTTCATTGGTACAGATTCAGAATTCAACATGAAGTGTGTCAGTTAAAGTCGTATTGGCCTGCCTAATGATGGACTGCTCAAAAAAGATTCTGGGGGAGGCGAGTGTGGGCATTCCCATAGTCATTCCTGCCACTTTTGACCAGACTGGAGAGATGAACTTTAACTTTTACTGTTACGTTTCAGAACCAGCTGGCAATACAACACAATGGACTCTATCGTCGCGCTCCAACAATTCAATGTTATATTTTTACATATGCCAGATACTCTGAGTCTGTGATGGAAATGAAGACACTGACGGATCCTGCACAGACACTCACTACCTTTAGGTGTGCCAGCACAGATCATTATAACTATGGACCCCTAAATACAGTTTAGACACATTTCTAAAGACTTTGTATATCATGGCAAACTTGAGTTTACAATGACTCCAACAATGTTTAATTTTCTATGATGGAATCACTTCAGCACATTTTTCTGAAGAAACAAATTGTTGGTTTAAACAAGTGAAAGAAGTTATTTGGAGGCATTTCAAAGCAACTACAGATCCCAAAATCACCTGTGCAAACAATTGTAAGTATAAAATTCATGGTCCAGTTGTGTTACTGCCACGATCAGGAAGAAAACACAAACTA